CCCTTTGTTTTGCATTTCCACAGCAGCTATTTTCTGAAAGATGCCCAGGTTCTCATTTACCAGTAACCACTAAAACAACATTAATTTCCAACTTAATGTAACTTTTATATCAAATGTAACTGGCCTTTTTGCCATTCAGATGGGAAGGCTACATATTTAAGTGATTATACTTATTTTAAAATACATACATTTTGAGTAGAAAATAATAGAGGATGATTATGGTTTTCTAACATAAACCCCTGTGAGAATTGGAACCTGAGTACCTGCAAACTGCATTTCGTCAGAAACCGAAACACAATAAAAACATCCGAAAGCTGTAGGATGTTGTTCCAGTTACGTTGTGCCAACTTAAATAAGGTTATTGACCAGCAACTGGAGCTTTAGGGCTTTCACATACCTGCTGGTACTCTAAAATTGGGAGCCATAAGCAGCTGGAACTGGGGACTTTTTGTTTCCCTTATCAGTATTTGTGCCCCTGACCCATCCTGGGAACACTTATTCCCCCTCAATCTACAAACAAAGAAAATAAAATTAAAGAGGAGGAATGAAAATGGGTGGCAGATGACTGCACAGGTATCACATAGTATCTCAAAGAAATCCAGCTCTTGCAATACCCTTCTTTCTGGTTCTGAAGGCCCCCATGACTATCTACACCATGGGGGACTTGAAGCAGGACACCACACGTCAATCATTAGCTGGAAATCAGCCCTGAGGTCCTTGAAGCTAATGGAGATTTAACACAGCTCTACCAAACACAGCACCATTTCTGGGTGCTTCAATAACTCCGTTATGCCTAACGAATAGCAACAAAACTGAATATCTGCTCTGCAGATAGCAGATAGCTACACACACAGTTCAAGCTGGAAAGAGCTGGCTCCAACCAACAAAAGCACATCTGCTCTTGCACATTGGGTAGCAAGCTCCAACACATTCTGTTGTCCTTCTATTTGGAGATTATCCTGAAAGAGATGCATCCATGTTTCACTGCAAGAAAAACCATCTCAGGGACTCTCTGAAAAGTCTACTGTGGTAGACACAAAAATTAAAGTCACTTGGCATTCAGGGATGGAGCGACTCCTCTGCTCTGAGGAAGCAAACCATCTGGATAGGCTTTCTTGATGGCTCTGAACTCTGTCAGACTGTCGTCCAAACCTCTTTTTCCAGCAAGCTCCCAGGCTCTCAAAGAGGACATCCCACCCCACCTCGGGGACTTCCACTCCTGATGGTCGAGGTGAATTGGCTGTGCTTGCACAGGCATGCAGGGAGAGCTGCCATGTTACAGAGCGTGACTCTGCTTGAGATCACACTTGTCTATTGAGCAAGCGAGCCCTGGGAAAATGAAAAGGAGGAACCCACAACTGGAATTGCCAGAGGCCAAGGCTGGCACAGAGGATGACGCAGGCTCCGGGTGCTGTGTGGCCTGAGAGAGCCAGGCTGGCTCCAACCCCTGCCACAGCACAAGCCCATGCTGAGCCAGGAGTTCAAAGGCAGCAAACCCATTCTGAAGGAGCAAGGCTTTGGCCAGCGCTGATTCAAGCACTGCCCCAGTTAATGCCAGGAACCAGACTCGTATCACCCGTGACTCCGGCTGATTCACCAGAGACTGAGCATACTACATCCATACTAAGGCCAAGGAAAGGGGTGAACTGCTGTCTGAGCCTCCCTGAGCTTAATCCATCATTTCCCCTTCCTAGCCCCATATCCGAAGAAAGCAATCAGCATGAGCAAAGTATTTCTAGAAGCCCTGGCTATGGCTGACAACTCAAGAACTATTATCCTGAATTACTAATGGACCTATACTGACTTTACACAGAACATAAAAACTGCCCATGAAACACTCATGTGGCAATCCAAAAACATGCATTTTGCAAATTCAGAGGCTTATGCAAAGATCCTCTTGGTAAAAAGCCAGAGTGCTGTTGCCAAAAGTCAACAATGTGAATTTTTCAGATAAAGGAAACCTGACACCTCAAGCCCCAGATTGCCTGCCATTTCCATTTTGGTTTGGGTTTCAGAGAATAACCGCTGTGGAGTCTTTCCCCATTGAGCCAGAAGAGATGGCTGGAGCTCCCCTGAGTCCAGCAACCCTCTCTCTTCAAAGAGAGCTGGAGTAAGTGAGTAGCTATCAACTTGCCAAACCACACTGGCTGGCTCTCACTGACAACCTCCAGAATCGGTGTGGCCAGCAGGACAGAAGATCAAGCACTGCTGAAATGAGCTAGCTGAATGCCAAAAGGAGGAAAGGTCCAGGGGTATACCAAAGAGAGGAGTGATGATGACAACCAGAGGTGCCGACTGGGGTTATGGGAGTAAGTGGAAGTAGATGAGGCCAATACATTGTGGCAATGGAAATTCTTCCCTTTTTTTTTTTTTCCTACGAGCATTGCAGTAATAAAGATATAAAGGTGGAAACAGCAATGAAAGCTGTGATCCTGGCTTCATTTCATAGGAATAGGAGCGAAATATTACACCAGGAGGCTGGTGACCATGGCTAAAACTGTCTGGAGACCATGCAAAAAATGGTACCTGCCAACTAATAGGCCTGTTTCCCCCCCAAAGTCCAATAGCTGCTGATCTCTGTTCTTCAGAGTCCATGTAATGCTCCACATCTATCTCCTGTAGCCTTTGCTGCTAGAGACATGAGGAGCATGACAGTGAAGCAAAAACCTTGAGTTCCACCTACAAGGCAGAATTAACGTGCCGGCTGGTTCACCTTAGGTTGATGATGCTGCTGGAGCAAACAGGTGGCCAACAGACTTGTTACATTGGCTAGGAATTAAATCACCACCAATGCAACACACCAAAGAATGCCCCATAGTCAGTACTTGGCTCAGCAAACACCTCCAAGAGGACTTACTAAGGGCACGTGGTCCTGTGAAGCATGTCAAGAAAAGCTAGGCTTTATCCTCTACAAAGAAAAATGCTGCTCTCCAATGCTTCTCCTGTGCGAGAATTAGCACTGAAAATCATAGGAAAAGTGGACCTACAAACCAGCTTAATATAGTGGCTTGGTCAGGGACTTTGTTATCAAGAACTCTCTCCCTCAGACAAGTTACTGCTCATGGAGCGATAGCTCCATGTTTTATCTGGGCTTTTCCTAGCTTGGGAGCAAACCCTGGTAACATTAGTGTTTGTGTTTCAGCGGTCCAGCGCCTACGTCCAGGCACAAAAGAGCACCTTCCTAAGGTACAGGCAGGATAACGGGACACACATTGCCTCCAGTGAACTGATGAGCGTATTCGTCTGCGGCAAGAGCTCAAACAGCTAGAATTTCTCTGCTTGCTGAGGCTATAAAGAGAAGAGAAAGTCATTAAGGTAGCAGAAGATACTCCTTTGAGTACACGGCACCAGCAAACAGCACCAGGGCTAGTGTGCCTCATCCTCTGAAAAAGGTGTTTGTAGCTAAGCTGTGCTGATGATAGTGATGCATTACAGCACCCTGATGGCTGCCCAGAGGAAGAAAGATAGCATGGATGCTGCTGACAGGTCAGGAATAGCAAAGGGGATTCCACAAGGAACCGTCCCTCTTCCCTGCCTTTCTGGAGAAGGCTGAGAATCAGTGCTAGCTGTGCCAGGATCCTGCTACGCCCACCATGGCTTGAACAGGGACTTCTCTAGACCTATGCATTTCCCTTGCAGAAAATGACCTACCCGACAATGGGAATTGCACAGTGCTGACACAGACCTTTCTGCTCCATACGAGCACTGAGAGAAGAGCCACACTACTCCAAGGCAGGGTGCAAATTCCCGGAGAGCTGAAGTATCAGAAAAAAATCAAGCAAAAAAGGAGAATAGAACCTTAAAAAATAAATTAAATTAAGTCGTTGGCAGCCAGGTATGACAACCACGCCATGTGAAGAGAGTCCTCTGGAGCATGGAAGCACATGTGGAGCACATTTCTTGCAAGACCTGGAAGGGCCCACAGTCTACCTCTGTCACACTGATAATCACTCACTGTTATCCATAAAACAAATAAGCAAGTGGACTGCCATGTAAAGAACACTGAATACTCAGGGAAAAAAGTATATGAAATATTTTTTCTTTTAAAGAAGAAACAAGGAACCTATAATTAATAAACAACTGATTGTTTCTGGTCACCAAGAACTTCAGAAGTCATAGAAGTCGTTTCCTCTTCCATCTCTTCTACAAATAAGTTAAAAATTTTTTCAACTGTCAATCAATTCTTCAGCCTTGAATTAACCAGATATTGAATTAAATCAAATGAATAAAATGATGTGAAGAAAACAGTTGCTCTGAAATGGTGCAATACATTACTCCAAAGTGGGCTTAATATTTCAGTCAACACTGTCTCCAAGCATTTAACCAATTACCTCTGGCAACTGGATTTTGTTTTCTTTAAAACTTCATCAGACAGGAATACCTTTGAATCACTTCATTTAATACAAATAACTAAACAGATTACAATAAATTTGGGCCATTATTACAAGTTTGTTTCTTTCAAATCCGAAGTACTGGGGTTTTAAAATAAACATAATCCTTTCCAGTTTTAAAAATTTCTCAACCAAGCAAAAAGTATTTTCCATTCTCCAAAGTAATCCAGAACATAGACCATATTGTTCACTAATGTGCATTCAGTCTGGGATACACTGGTGTCACTAATCTAACGTGAAATTCAGTTGTGCAGAAGACCATTCTGTATCTACTTTAAAACACAATCATCAGTTACCGACAAATATATTTAAAATATGAAAAAAATTACAAACTGACCCACTGGCTACTCTACTAATCCTGGGATTTTATTTTGCCTGGGATTCTCTAGGGTTTCTTCAGAAAACATAAAGTAATTGCACAAACTCAGAGGCACAGTTCTCCATCAAGAAAGTCTTCCACAAGAACATGCAAAAGCCCACACCAAGAGTGCCTCACGGGTTGATCTAAAGAAGGCAAATACTATGAAAGAAGCAATGCTGGAAGAAACACTAGGTGAATGTAGAGGCAGAGGTAATACGAAGAAAACAGAAATGTGCAGATTTACTTGTTCCAGTCAACAACAGTAACTAAAGTTTATTGATTTCAGTTTCAGCAGCTAAAAATCCATGAAAACATTTTTATGTGATACAGACAATACTATCCCATATTCAAATTTCTATCAAAGTAATAATATAGGCTAGGATTTTCTCACAGTCATTGCTATTTACTTACCAATTAGTACAATAAAACCTATTTTAAAATATAAATATTACTAACCTATTTTAAAATATAAATAAGTGCAAATAGTTTTTGTATCCAGTTGTAATTTAGCTTTTCAATTATATGGAAATATCTAAGTAAAGAGACTGAAAAAAATCTGTTAGCTACAAAAATAGCTGGACACATTCTCAGCCACTGTCTCTCAACTGTTCCCTTTATATCCATTGTAAAACTATTTCCAACACACTAATCACATCTATTCGGAAGAAACTAAAATTATATGATTTCAAACTATTTTCATTAGAAAAACAGTCCTTTAACAACTGCTTTTAGTCTTCCATCTAATTATATACTCTTAAAGGCCAAATATTCATTCAGTATGCAAAAATAACCATAGCCTTTTATTAAGGATAAACACCAAATAAGAGTTCATAAGAAAAATAAAGATGCTCTTTGCCTCTACCAGCAACACTGTCCAATATAGGATATTAAATTTAATTTTAAAATTTTAAATACATATATGTCAAAGTCTTAGTAACTCCGTATCAGAGACTTACTACGATTAGGTCTGTTCACAGCATCATAACTTGCTGGACTGTGTGGCTAGTATTTCCTTGGAGATACTTCACGTAACAGCCAAGATGTTCAAAAATCTACCTTTCTAAAAAGCTCTCCCCTAACTCAATACTAAGTAATCTGCACTTAAAAGCCCACAGCCCTACCAAGAAATCTTACCTATCTGGAATATTTTTGTGACCAACAGTCAATAAAAAAAGATTGAACTGATTAATATTTGATTCTGACATCTGTCTAAGGACAGTGTAAGAACAATACATTATAAGGTTACTCAAATTAGAGGGCTAGCACTATCTTTTTTTTTTCTTTTACCTATGCACCTGTCACACTTTTTATGCAAAGGCTGTTTATTAAATGCAAGCAAAACCCCTGATTTCCTATTTCGTAACAATCATGGTCTGATATTCTCCACATTCAATGTACGTTTCTACAAAAAAATAAAATTGATTTCAAGTACAAAGCAGCAGCTATCTAATCCACAAATAAAAACTACAGCAATGTTCTGCTCTTCCTAAAACAACCTTGAAGCCATGATCATATTAAAGACACAGATGCGAGGGGATTTTTCAACTTCCAAACAGATGCAAACAAAGTATTACAATCCAGGGGTGCAGGTAAATGAATAAGCAAGCAAACTACGTGACGTTTGTGCAGTGTCCTCTCAAATCCTGCAATCCCTTCTAGAAAGTCTGGGTCTACATCTCCCTCTTCTTTACTCATGTTCTTCTCGCATGGCTTGGCCTCAGAAACTTTCCATGCCTGTAACGGAAACTTGAGCCAACTTCTCAAATGTATGATTTCTTCATCTCCACTCATCATCCACTTCTGTTTCTGAGAAGCTCCTCATCATGACACCTGTATCTCAAGAAGCAAAACAGGAAACATCACAGGGATGAAGCAAGGAAAGATGTATAATAATATGCCTCCGTGTCTTTAATAAAATCCCAACTTTCATTCAAGTTCCTTTTAGGAAATAAGAGTTCCTTTCACAAAAGCAAAGTTTTACCAAACTAGGTATGTAAACATCACGTGCCAAAATTGGGGTAACCAATGAAATCTCCCCATCTGCACCTCCGTTCCTGACATGACGAGCAGGAGAAATCCTGTACCCACTGGGCTTACATACTGTGGAAAACATCATTGGGTGCCAAGCTTGCAGAACTAGTCTGCAGCAGCCAGCTCAACTAAAAGAAACCACTGACCCATCTACTAACTTCTCCGCTACTGAAAACAATGGAAGTTATCTTTACCCAGGACCCGTTCGTCCAAGTAAGTAGAGCTCTAGCCCACAACTAAGATGAAAAACAAAGACGTAAGCCTCTCCTCTACTTTCCCCACTGCTCCTTAATCTACACAACTTCCACAGTATGTTTGCATTTTTACACACTTATCAGGTACTGGAGGAGATGCTTCCTCTGCATTAGAGCAGTTTAACTACAAGGTGACAAAGGCCTAAGGTATTTTCAACATGTCTTTGTCCCCAGAATCATGTCATAAAGTTTGGGGTCGGGGTGGAAGGGACTTGCCTATCTGTTTCTGCCATCCAAAACTTGTGATCAAGCGGGCCCAAAGCCAACAGCAGCACTGTTCAGAGTCTAACAACAAAAAGGCAGAAGGGTGACTCGTCCGCAAAATGGAGACACAGACATCTTGTGTCCAAACAAGCAGTCCAAACCATTTGCCTGCCTCACGATTCTACCCGAACGCTGAACAAGGGGATGCAGGAGAAATGATTTCTGCAGCCTCCCCAGCCCTGAAGCCTTCAGGGCAGATAAGCAGGCACCAAAACCATTCTGCCAGCCAGCTCTCAGTGAGACAGAAGCATGAAAGCAATTTTCTCTGTCCCTTTTAGGGTTAAAGCCATCTTTAAAGAAACATTAGCACCAAAATGTCTTCCTAGCAGAGGCAGAGCAGATCCTAGCTCTTATCAGCTACCATCGCAAATTCTCAGAATTCCACCTCCCATCTGATATCCTCCTTTCTTCCGAGCAGGTTTCACTCAGAAAGACAGCACAGTCCTTCACCAACTCCTCCCAGGGAAACAACAAGGACGGGTCATTTTGGCACTCTTACACTAGAAACAAGGGACAGCTGTAGGGACAGAGTCCCATCCAAGCATAAAAAGTCTTGGCTTTGGTTCTTGCACACTGCAGTAGAGAAGATAACTGAGCCTTGGATGGTCAAAGCAAGAAACCCTCTGAAACCGCTCTGGGTATTGCAGAAACAATAGCTGCTAAGTAACCAGACAGAAATGTATTTGCTGTGCAGGGATTATATGTCAAAGAAAAATACACATTCTGTCAATTCTGAACTCTTGAAGAAGTCTCCTAAAAGTGCTTAGGAGGCAAACAGTCCTGAAAGCCTGTGCCTCAGTGATCATGCCTGCTACTGAGAAACATGCTATTGCCTACTCAGGAAAGGCAACTATCACAGATTTCAAGGGCTTACAGAGCACAAAAGCCGAGGCAGCCACACATGTCCTGTCAGCAGGACATCCAGAACATGTCCGGATACCATCCAACTATTTTATACCACAGTGATCCTTAATCTTTTATCATGATGATCTCTGTATAGAAGAAACAGAAACCACAATTTCACTGTTACATAATCATAACAACTCCATATTCTCTCTGAGCACCAGAAATTAACTGCGGACAAGTAATTAAATTTATTATTGACACCCTCACTCGTTAATCAGATGTCTACATTCAGCATATGCACCATACAGATTACAAGACATCCAGGCTGCTCACTGTTGCATGCAGAAAGAGAACTGTAGAAAAAGATTAATAGTTGTCAAAAACATCTGATGCTGCCTGTCACCTGAAACAACCGAGGAATTTTTGGTTTTCTTTTGAAGAGACAATTTACTGACAGACTGGTACTTCTAACTTTGATCTTCATAGCAGCCAACACCAGCAGAAGAATTTTGTAGCTCAATAACAAAACACAGAAACCACCCAGACTGTTAACTCAATTACAGTATTTTGGCAAGGAAGCCTTCTCCTTATACCTTGGGGAACGTCTTAAGATTAAACAGTGCATGTTTTAAAGGTACACGTGCCTCAATTATTTGGTGTAACTGTTCATGCATCTAATTGCTTTGAGAGAAAAAGTATTCCATGGCAACTTGCTTGGAAGACTGATATTTTTCCTTGTTTCCCAAGGAAACAATGGTTATATAACCACACTGACTGTCCCATGCACAGAAAAGTAAATTATAAGGCCAATCTCAACTTAATCTGATGGAAAAGGACAGAAATTTCACAGGTGCTCAATTCCTACAACAGGCTTGCAGAATAAATAACCGAGGCAGCCCCCTGAGCAATGTGCCTGGTTCACAAACGTCAGGGAGACATCATGTTTTGATTAAATATACCCAAGAACTACAAGGCGGTGAGAGGCTGCTCAGGCACTGTGCTGTTGGAAAAATCAGGGACGCTAACGGTACTGCTGTGTAATGGAAAGAAAGAAAGGAAGATGTTTAAGGTACCACAGTGCCACCAAAACTGAGAAAGCTGCAGGAAACTCTCATCTTCACTAGTTCAGCTGCTCACAGAGCTACTTTTTAGTCTACGGAGCAATACAGCAATGCCTTATGTGCCCATCACAGCTTCCATCTTTACGTGGGCTGCTGCTGACGTGTTAGCAGGCACTTCTCAGGATTCATTAAAGGCACTTGGTCAACAGTTGTCCTCTTTCACCAATGAGACACTGGAAAAGCAGTCATACACTGCAGTACAGGTGGCCTCAGAAAACCCTCAAAAAAAAAAAAAAAGCTTCTCAAACCCTTTACCCTTTCAACAAGATCTTACCCAGACAGGGTAAGGTAAGCACTACCATGACAGGTCAGATTGCTGGTCCATCTGTTTAAGAATCCTGCCTCCTGTGATCGGGACCAGATGCTTCAGAAGGTGGAACAGCTCGGATAGTGAACAATGATGTAATTCACCCAAAGGGGAAACTCCTTCCTGACCTCATCAATTAGCATGAAGGTTTATATGCTTAATTTCTTTTTAATCCTATTTGCTGCAACTCTGGACATTGTCATTATATATATAAATGTCCAGGTCTGCTTGGAATCCAACTAAACTTTTGGCCTCGGTAATATTATGTGGTATAATTATGGCAGGTTTCAAATGTACTGATTTTCAATTTCATTTAAACTTCCCTTTGTTCTTGCACTATGGGAACTAGCACAGCTATTAACCACCTCTCTTCCCTTTCCCAGGGCTTGCACCGTAAACTCCCATGCCATACTGTGCTCTGTTACAGAGTGGGAACATAATCTGAGGGCCTTTAAGGCAACAATTTAGCAACTTCTGTCAGTTATCCAGCAACATTTCTATATGCTAAATTTCTGGGATCTGCTGGAAGCTGGCAGCTCCACCAGAATTTCACCAGGCCCTACCCTCTTCCAGATCTCGCAAGCTCACTTTTCTGACATTTTCCACTCCAGAGCTGCCACCCTTACAAGCAAACTGTTTTGCCCTGTGTTGTGCTCTCTGACCCCCCCCTGAGATTCTGATAAATTTAGTTATAAAAGAACAGACAAAAAGCATACCATACTGGGCTTTTCAAGGTCACACAGGAACCTCTCCCTCTGAGCAAAGAATTCCCCTCCCATCTCCATGCCTTAATAAAGAACAACAGTGTCCAACCAAGCAAAACCAATCCCGTTTTGCTCTTGGCTGGTGTTCCTGTGGGCCGCAGGTTCCTCTGTGCAGTAACTTTTGCCTATGTTGTTACTTATGGATGAGCTCATGACATATTCATCATGATTATTATGCCAAGTACTTACTAAAGCTCCAGTGCTATTAGTCACTGCTGTTTCTGCTCACACAACGCTTACAAGAGGCATCAAGGTATAAAGCCACACCTTCATTCAATAAAAGTTTGGTGAAAAACAATATAATGATGTATGCAAGCAGCAGACAAGGAAGGGAGACTCTTAAAGCAACCTTGAGGTTCTGGATCCTCTCATCTCCCCAAAACACAGTCCTGCTTTCAGTAACTATTTGGGCTGCATTTTCTTCCCCAGCCTCTGGAGCTAAAACTTTGGACCCCAGGCCACAGGTTCTTAATCCCAAAGTCTTTAGGAGAGAAAGAGTAGGTCTAGCTGATGTGTCATGGGAAGATGGTCTCCCAAGGAGATGACAGAGTTTTTACAGCATCTGTGAGAAACACCACATAGCCATCACCATTCTACTGCATGTGTTTTGATTACGGGCTTGGAACTGGTGAATTATGGCAAGAGAATACTTCTTTGCCTCAACCAAAAAGAAAATTACACCATTTCATCCCACTTTAGAAGGGCCTTTAGGCGAGCAACCCATCGAGAGAAAACTCCTGTCCCAGCCTATGGTCCATAAACAAATGGAGCTCTTTAACGATCAAAATAGCACTAACAGAACTGGTAACAGGCACCACTTTGCCAACTGTTAGCTCATTAAGTAATACAGCCACATGCAACTTTTTTCTCTATTTGAGTATCATATACTGATTAGTCAATAAAATCACAGGTCTCATAATGTCAGTCAAATTGTCCCATTGCATACTTCTCAATGACCTCCCCATACTGTTTAATAGTTACGCAGCAGTTTTAGAAACTCTGTTCCAGAGCGATGATCTTAATACCGTCTTTCTAAGAGGCCATAAACACTTTCCTGTTCTTCTGTCTCACATGTGTAAAGACGACATACCGAACTGAGTACTTCTACAATGCTCTTAGGCAATGCTCAAACAGCGGTCCAAGCCACAAGTTTCAGAGCTCTGCCACACCACCATCTCCAGGACCTCTGATTAGCCATCGAGTGGTTTGCCTTTGGCATTTCAGGATTTGCTGAGGTTGAAAGAGAAGACAGTAATGATACAGAACAATTCTCCCATCAGCTGTGGCAAAAGTAATCTTGGAGGCCTTGAGTGCAATGCTTTCACCATTTCTGAGTCATTACTGAATATGAAGACAAAAAGAGGTGATATTTTCTGTTTGTCACACACAAAAACAGAGTTTGGGCAAGGAAATCTTTTAACGGACTCAGCAAAGGTATTTTTGGCTGCTAGAATTCTCAATCTGTTGTGCTAAAATTAGCTTTAAATAAATGTGCAATACAAGTAGTACATACTTTGCCTAAGAAAAAAACCACTGGCCACTTACAGATCACGTGAACTCGGTTATTTAGTTGAGCTAAGAACATCAATTATTCCAAGCCTTATCTGACTGTAGATTTGGGTCTACTTAGCAATGGCACTGCCACATATCAAAACACACGACGAGCCACAGCTCTTTACCAAAGCGAGGGAAAGTTCCTGCAAACAACGGTTGCTGACATTTAACAAGATGGTCACGAAGAAAAGAGGTAAGACTGAAAAAGCCTGTGCCTCTGCCTCTCCCCTTCTGACCTTCCCTCTGAAAAGAAAAAGCAAGTCTTCCTCTTCTGTCAGTCCACCCTTCCTTCCATATTACATATAAAGAAATTGGATGCTTTCAACTATCATTCCCTGATGTCCACCAACCAAAGCTATGGAAGATAATATCCTTACTTTTTTACCCCTTCAAGCTTTTCATCAATCAGTAAAAGGGTTCCCCAAGTTCTGCTTTGTTTGTACAATCGGTGTCACAGAAGTTGGTTCTAATATTGCTCATCAGAGCATACACCACAATCTGAGCAATGGCAAAATAGTCGTTCAAACACACCGAGTACTCTGTGCTGGCTGAAGTTCACAGCAGCTGTTCGAGTCCCAGAAAGACATCTGAGAAAAGCGCCATAAATAACGAGATCACATGGAGTCTCCGATTGCACAGCCAACATACATCTGTCCTGCTCAGGAATTTATACTTCACACCCTACGCTGTCAGTCAAAAGTGTATTACAAATTATGTTTTCAGGATGATCCAGAGGGTATTTTGGAAAGTAATACAGCCCTCCTGCCGGCCGAGTCTTTTCAAAATACTCATTCTATTCCATTACAAAAAAGACAAATGTTTCTATAATCTTGTCCAAACCGGTGTCTTTCTCAGGAGCAAGCTATAGATCCATGCGTGCCTTTTATACATCACAGATGTCTAAAACCAGTTCCAGCGAGTCTGACAGCCTGACGGAAACTGAATGGGACTACTCCTTCGCAGACTCAGGATCTAAATTTTTCTTCAGATGTGCAAATGTAAGGTATTTTCTCAGACTCGAATTTCAGCAAATCCCTAATTTGAGCAGCCCCTTTTTACAAGTCTTAATTCACTTTACTGTTAGATTAAAATTAAACTCAGTTCTCCTAGAGCATCTCATTCCTAGGCCTCTGCAAGGGGAGAATCACTTTTCAAAGCAGTGCCTAGCTATAATTGGGAAAGAAGATATACAGCTATTTTATAAAAATGAGATTTTTTTTCTTTCTGGAGTTTTGCCACAAATTGCCTTCGAGGGCTTGGTTCAGAAATTCCAAATTCAGTTTATTGTTTTTCTCATTGAGAACTAACTCCTTTTAGCAATTCTGTTAATCTTGGAGTTTGAAGTTATTTTTATTAAAGTAACGCCCAGAGTTTAGATATTCCATAAAAAGATCAGGAATTATTTTTATTAAGGTAACACCCAAAGCTTAGACATTCCTTGCAAAAATCAGGCAAAGCACCTTCATTCTTAAAAAGGTTCTTAGCCTTTTCCTTGTAAACACAGATTTCACGGAGACAACTGAGCACTGAGAAGTTTTATCGGCCTTTTTTTATCAGAGTTGGAAAAAAAGTTATTAAGGCAGAATTTTTCCTGCCTAAAAAAATCCTGAGCCTTTTGCTCTTAACACAACATGTGGTTTTTTCCTCCTCCCTTCTTGTCTTCTGTTATGGAAGAAGTAGCGCCGATTTCCACTCCTTGACGTCAGATTTCTCATGAGACATTTGTGCTGGCTTTGGGGTGTTCTGCCAGCAGTCAGTATCTCTGGTCATGCTCAGTATCTGTCCCTTAGCCAGCAGGGAGTCCTGCCAACCCAGGTGACACCAATTTCTGATGGAGCTTGTTAGACTACAAGAAACTTGTTCTTAGCCCTTAACTCTTATGCCACAACAGAAACAGGGTTGCAAAGTAAAGGATCTTACCTCCATTCTCAGGGGCCTGAGGCACTGAAACCTTCTGCTCTTCAGTGGCAGCCCTGTCTTGAGGACAAGATCAAGTGCTGCCTTTTTGTTTGAGTGACTATGTTAATAAACTAGGTGACATCACCCAGGTTCCTTATCATGACTAAAACACAGTTTAAGTGTTTGGAGAGGAAAGGGAACACCTTTTGATCACTACGTCCGATTCAGAGTGTAAGCAACCGCGACTGAAGACTGCACTTTGTCAGCAAGCCTCCTCCAAACACTATTGCTCTTCAGGCATAACAGGCCAAAGACATCACAGAGTTAATAATATGTTTTCCATCAAGGTGCTTCTTCCCCATTGAAGAAGGCACGTAGTGACAATTTTCAATCTCTTTAATGTAGAAATTAGGGCCGGGGCAAAATCTTTTCATTTCCTCCAAGAGAGGTTAAGTTGCAACATACCCACCTTTCTCTCTGCAGCGTGTATAATTTCAGCTTGCTCAACAGCAGCGGCACTCCTGAGTTCAGGAGGACTTTAAAAGGAGTGATTATGCTCACGGAAGTAGGCTAACGTGAATAAACTGCCCAGGCAACAGGGAGACATTCCAGAGCCCTGTGCCATCACCAGGCTTTTGGCCAATGCTGCTTAATCATATATGCAAAATGCAAATTACAGAAAGATTCATCATAGGTTAGAATATTCTCAATGAATAATTTTGCACAGTGCTGAAGAAGCTTCCCTGCAAACCATCGTCGGACGAAGGCACTGAGATCTTCTCCCCATTTTCAGACCTTCTACTGGTGTCAGCAGTACAAGTGGTACAGCAAAGGCTTCCTCTGCGGGTCTTCTCAATGGATCAGGCAGTTTTGGAAGGGAAGTTTAGCACCACCTGAGTGTCATGCTGCTGAAATTCATAACTCTTATGGCTATAAGGCACCACGGCAGCTGCTACAGGCGACATTCTCATCTGGGCTTGAGAATTGGCACATGCCAGTTCACACTATCTGGGCACGTAACACCAGACTGAAACTCAAAAAGCTCATGGCACGGGGACAGATATTTTCACCGCAAGGCCCACAGAGTTTACAACTTCTTCAGCTTTAAACACAGCCACACTCATAGCTTAGAAATATTTAAGACCCTCCTGAGCCTTGTCATAGAATTTATAAAGCTCTATCTGAAAAGCTTTGATCTTCTGTGCAGCACTGAGTATATAACCTAGCCAGTCACGTTTTAGTTATGAGGATGTGACTTTTCCACAACTTAACAGAAGGTTATAGTTCTCACGTAAGATTATGAAGTCATGGTTGTAACTCCATCTGAAGACTGCATTTACAAAGATCTGACTGCTCAGCAGCTCCCATGGACACAACAGAGCAGTCAGATTCTCAAAAACGTCCGAGTTACAATTGAGAGCAACTTGTTAACGCTTTTTTGCAGTACCTTATAGTTGCAAAGTTTTAACTGCTTTGAAAGCTTTCCCTCGCATGCTCTGTGTGATCAGACACCACTAAATCTACATATCATAATAGCTTTTTAAACAGTATTGAGTAAGCTAGAAAGATTTGCCTCTGTACAGCATTCTCAAAAATAAACGGGACTAAAGATAACTTTGGCACAATTTTTTTAAAGGTCACAAGCTTTCCCCATCCAAGACATCTAATAATTCAGTATGACCAAAGTTCCACGAGAGTTTGAGAATCCGTTCCTGTGCATGCCTACAAGTGAATGGATGCAAAAGAAATATATCTATTGTCTTTACCCTATCTGCCTTTGCTTTTAGGCACTGATTTTTTATTGCCAATTAAAGAAAGCACTTTTTTTTCTCTACATGCAATACTGTGAATTAACAGGTAAAAATCACTGCAGAAATTTGAGGTAAAATTTCAAAAGCTGACTGCACCTTCCGCCCCAAAGCATACTTGTACTGTAAAACTGAAATATAAAAACCCCAACAGAACAGGGTATAGTTTTGCTGGGACAGACCTTCAATACCTGCACTTAAGTCAGGAAAACAAACTACTACCTGCCCTTCGCTCACGGCTCAAGCAGCATTCTTCTAAGGCCCTAGCAAATGCAAAAGGTACGTGCCCTGGAAAATCTTTTGCTTTTGGTGCTTCTCCTTAAGAATGTTTTGTCTCGACAAGTAAGTTTGTGAGACACTTGTGCCACTACCTCAGGCCCACACAAGCGGATATACAAGCGGAGCTGCAAGCCGCTCGAGATTTCTAAGCGCTTCACGGTGCTTCCAGCTCAGCTGCGAGGAAAACTGTAAAATTATTAGCTACAGACAGAAAAACGGCTCGGTTCAGTAAACCGGAAAGAACGGGTTCATTTTGACATGCTGCTTTATTGAAACGTATGGAGCCGCATCGGCTGGCTGTTGAGGACAGTAGCCCTGGCGAGCGTTACGGAAGATGCGCCATTAGAAAGGATTCATCCCCGCGCTGCCTGTTCCCTGGCTGACCGCTCGGGTGGGCAGGGCTGGTGGGAAGGAGGGATGAGCTCTCGGCACAGCCATGAGACCCGCG